TTTCTTGTTTTTCTTTTTCAGTGGTATTGTGCTGGAATGGGCTTTTATGATTGCATTTTTCAGAGTTTCCTACACTTCTTGAGTTGTTTTCCCCCTTTAGAATTTTCATCCATGGAATCTTTCCTAGGGTCTCTTTGAGTTTGTTAAAATCAGTTCTTTTAAAGTTTAAGACACTGGTTGGATTATTTTCTATTGCTTGTGTTTGCATTATATTGATTTCCAGTATGATGTGGTCACTTTCATTCAAGGTTCCAGCAACTTCAACTCCCTCTATCATTTCTTCTCTGTTAGAATTAAGTACAGTATGGCTTTACATCTAGTTCCCTCCTCCACATTTTGGGTGACAAAGTTGTATCACTTCTTCTGTATTAGTAAGAATTAGGTCCAGTATGGCTTTACTTCTAGTTCCCTCCTCTACCTTTTGGGTGACAAAGTTGTAGGCTATGTTGGTTAGGAGTCTGATCTCCCACTCACTGCAGAGTTTGTTTCTCAGTTGATATCTGGATAGTTGAAGTCTCCCATCACAACTGTGGAATGCTTCCTACAAACATTTGTTAACTGGTTGGCAAAGCATTCATATATTTCTTCTGAGTGGTTGGGTAGCCTGTAATATACACCTATGGCAATGTCACTTTTTCCCCCTTTTATATTGACTCATTTACATTCTGGAGGGGTTTTATCTTTGATCATGTGCATTTCTGTAGATATGTAGTGTTCTCCTACATATAGTGCAACTCCACCTCCTCTTTTTGTAGATCTATTTCTTTTAAACAAGTCGTGTACATCTATCAGTACATTCCAGTCATGGGTTTCATCCCACCAGGTTTCTGTAATGCCAACTATATCATACCTACCCTTGTGTACTATTGCTTCTAGTTCACCCTGTTTGTTCCCCAAGCTTTGAGTATTTGTATATAAGCATTTAAGAACTTTATGCCTCCCTGTGGGTATGTTTCCTGCATCTCCTAATTGTTGCTTGAGTTTTTCTTTTTTCTCACAACTCCCTACCTCATTGTTTGATTTGTTTTCTTGGGATTTGTGATTGGTTTTGTGTTCTAGAGATTCTAAAGATTGGTCACCCTTCCCCCTCAATTTTAATTTAAAGCCCTTCTGATGAGTTGGGCCAGTCTTTTTCCGAGTACATTTTTCCCTCTTTTCATGAGGTGTAGCCCATCCCTTGCCAAGAGTTCTTTGCATAAGTAGTGCAGTCCATGATCCAGGAAACCAGAGTTTTGTTGGTGACACCAATCCTTTAGCCAGTGATTTATTTCTAGAATTCTTTTTTCCCTCAATGGTTGTTGGCCCTTCATAGTACTGATGAGAACACTACTTATGCTCCTAGTGACTTAACTTTATTGCCTAGTTGCTTATAATCTCTCAATATTGTACTCAGGTTCTTTGTTGTGTCATTCATCCCAATGTGAAGGAGGAGGAAAGGGTAGTAATCTATGGGCCTAATTATTTTGCTTAGGTTCTCAGCCACATCTTTGATTTTTTTTCTCCAGGGAGATAACACACCTCCCTAGATTGTATGTCTAGTCTGCAGAGGGCTGATTCTGTTCCTTTGAGGATGGAATCTCCTATCACCAACATTCGCTTTCCTTTTTGGGGGGTGCAGTTTGTGGTGCTTTTCTGTTTATCTCATGGGTGTTTGTTGATGTGACTTTTTAGGGATATTTGATGATGTCTCTTTTCTAAGTATCTGGATGTTTTCTTTGAAGGGGAGGTTGTGGGTCTGTGTATTTTCATCTAGGGGAGAAATTGATTGCTCAATTTTAATGGGGCTGCTTCTGGTTGGATTAGATTGGACAATGGGAGTTTGTTAAATGTATTCTCCTTTCTTTGATTATTGTGTTTCTTTCTATGTGTGACATACCTCCATTTGTCTTCCTCGAAGGGTTTATCAGCAGGGTCAGATCCTCTGAGAGTTATTTGTTCCTTATTTGGTTTGACTTGGGTAGAGCTTTCTTGTGTACGTTGGAGTTTGGCTAGAGTTGCCTCTAGATACCTTACTTTTTTTCTCTAGTAGTTTGCATAGTTTACAATTAATACATGCATAATTTGGGTGTTCTTTGGGCATACCACAATAGTATCAGTCACCTGTTCCATGAGTTTGTGTTTGAAAATCCCTCTTTTTTGGTAGGTGGATATGTTTTGCTGTTAACCTTGTTTCTTCCTTCTCTGTTCTAGGTAATTATGCCTATTTTTTTCTATCTTTTTTCTGCCTGTTTGTGCTCGTTTTTCTACCTTGTTATTTATTTAACTTTCTTACTATTATGTTAGTTTTATTTATTTTCCTTTCCTCTATTTTTTTAAAGTATTTGAGCTCCATTCCTCCTATCTTATTATTAAGATTTGCCTTGTTAAGATTTGCCTCTTTATTAATCCTATTCCTTGATTTCTAATGTTCCACTCTTGTCCTTATTACTTACCTATTTATTTATCTTTTATTTTCTGTCCTGTATTTATTTTTATTCTCTACTTGGGTGTTCCCTCCCTTCCTATTGGGACCTCAAACTTAATTGTTGCCTTCACTTCCATTGTTCGCTGCTCCAGCCTCTTGTCATTTTCTCTGCCAGCTCTGTTCTGTCTTTCATTTCTCGGGTCTTTTCAGCCTCACCTCTGCTGTGATCAGGCCTGCAGTTCAGCTTTCCAGTCAACTCAGCTCCTCTGTCTGGTCTGCTCCATTCAGCCGGCCATTCAGCTTTAGAGATCAGAGCTCTCTACCTCGATGCACCTCTTCTGCTGCTGTGTTGCCCATCTCTGCTGCTGCTGCAACCTCCTCTCCACTGATTCTGCTGCTGCGTTTCTCCCCTCCACAGATTCTGCAACCACCAATTTCTCACAGCCATTGGTTCCCTTTGTTGGATGGGCTGCTCCAGGCCCTTTGTCCTCTGCCAGATGGGCTACTGGGAAGGGCTGCCAGGCTAACAGGAGGCACAGGGGGGGCTGCTGATCTCGCTGGGGAAGGAATGTTGATCAAATCCTCCACAACTCCTCCACCTGGGGCAAGTCACTGGGGAGGGCTGAGAGGCTGGAAGGACATAGGGGGAGGGCTGTGGTAGTCATGCTGCTTCTAGTTTGCTGGGCCCTGGGTCAGGATGCCTGGCTGCCCCCTTGAGCCAGGCTGCCTAGATTGGAATAAGGTCTAGGGCTGGCAATTACTGAATATACTATGACCCACCAGTTTGCTGCCTCCAACAGCCTCCCTTCTTGTCTGCTGTTCAGCTGCCAGTTCGCTACTCTTAGTTACCTCTTTTCCAGCATTGGACTGCTTAGTTGGACTCTGAGCTGTATCTATCATTCTCTGTTGCTGGTTGCTTTTGACTCCATGTGCAGCCATTCATTTGCTGCACTGCTGTTTTGCTGGTGTTTTCCTACTTACCCCAGTTTCTTCTTTTCTTTTATCCTTTCTATCTTCCTTATCTAACTTTCTGCTGCTTTTTTCTCCCTTTCTTCCCCCTCTCCTTGTATCTTCCTACTTAGTTGTGTAACTTCTCTCCCTGTGAACTGAAACTGCTTCCTATGCTGCCACCGTCTTGGAATGCAAAATACTTCCTAGTCTCTCTCTTAGCTTGTTGAAATCAGCTCTCTTGGAGTCTAAAACACTAGTCTGACTTGGTTTATTTACCTATAGTTGCATTATGGTGAATTCACATATGTCATGGTCACTTTCCCCTAAAGTTCCTAAAACATCTATCCCCTCAAATATTTCATCCCTATTAATAACAATGAAGTCCAGTATAGCTGTCTCTCTAGTTCCCTCCTCTAGCTTTTGTATGACAAAACTGTCATCTAGGCATGTCAGGAACCAGTTTGATTTCCCACTCTCTGCAGTGTTTGTTTATTAAATTTTCCATCTCCAACCACACGATTAGGAAATGGTAAGCTGGTTTATTAGAAAGTTTACCATATCTTTCCTCCATTTAGACAGAAAAGCCTAAGATGATGGCCAGGACAGTTGCGGCCATCAAAGTAAGTTGGTTCTGTTGCAGTTCTCTTCATTCTACTTTCAATAAATCTTGCTCTGGTATGATTTATTTTCCTACTATGATTATTTTAATATTTAACAGTTTCCTATTCTCTAATTTGTCCTTTAATTAATGATCAACACAACTGATGGGTCATTTGTTATAGGGCAGTGGTTCTCAACCTTTTTAATGCCGCGACCCCCAACCGGTCGTAAGTCGAGGACTACTCAACCAATCATAAGTCGAGGACTACTCAACTGGTGCAGCACCGTTTGCAGAATGGGACTTTTGGCGGGCTCAGCAGGGCAGAGACAGCCTGGACAATTCCTATTGGCTTTTGAAAGCCAATAGAATTAGACTCTATTCAAGAGAGTCTATTCTATTGGCTTTCAAAAGCCAATAGAATAAAAGGGAGTAGCACAGCTAAGGAAAAGGGGGAAAAAATGGTGGACTGCGTTGTTTGGCGACCCCCGTGAAATGGTCGTTCGACCCCAAATGGGGTCCCGACCCACAGGTTGAGAACCACTGTTGTAGGGCCATTTGTTGTAAAAATGCAAGATTACGGCATGAACTAAGAAGGAAGGAAGGAGATATGTATTTACAAAGCCTGCATAACAAAGATAAAGGAAGAGGGAGTGTGGACTGGTGGGGTCCCTTTCAATGTACAAAACAAGAGCTGATTGTCAGGCATATCATAGAAGACATATTGCTAAGAGAACAAACAGGGCTAAGATAGAGTCAATAGAAAACTTGCTAAAAGTCTTCTACGATGCCTATTAGTTAACTTTTAGCAATAGGATTGAAATAGAGCCAATAGAATACTTGTTAGATAGCTTTTGAAGTGTTTATTAGTTAAGACTTAGAAATAGGGATGGCGTGGAGCCAATAGAGGACCCTTTAGATAACTTTCAAAAAGCCTATTAGACAATGTTTTTTTATCCTGCCTTGAAAAACTATATAAAAGTTTGTTGAATCTTTTGTTCTGGGTCCTGGCATTTTGCTGTCTAGGACCTCTTTTGCTGAAGCTCTTCAATAAAGGGAAATCATTCCTGCACCTCGTGTCTCATAGTCTTCATCGGCTTTGGCACCAGGCTAAGACCCAAATTTGAGGACAACACAACCCAGACAAGGTTTTCACTGAGAAAATCTTATTGATCTATGTTTGTTACCTGCTCTTAGTTTATTGTTTCTTAGTTTATTGTTTCTTATTCAGGATTAACATATAGTATTCCTGTTCTAAGTATTCTTTTGTTGATTTGAGAGTGGATTAGGAATGGACTGCATCTCATGGATAGCAACCACAAAGAAGAGGGTGGTTTCATTTTTGTAAACTTCAATAAAGCAATTTCTGGCTTTGAGCAGTAAGTTAAATTGCAGTAATTAGTATAATTAATTACTAATAGAGTAGATAGACATAACTAGACAGAGGTAGTCCTGCTGATCAGGGGTTCCCCAAGCCCTAGTCTGTGGCCCAGTGCTGGTCCACGGCCTGTTGGGAACTAGGCTACGCAAGCGGTGGACAAACATGCAAAGCTGCATTTGCACTAGTGGCACATGAGCATGAAAACATCCCCTCTCCCCCCCTCCCACTGTTGCCAATCCACAGAGCCACAAAGGTTGGTGACCACTGCTGCAGATAATCAAGACCCAGGAAATTAAGGGCTTTATTGATAAAAACAACCACCTCTTGAATTCCACCTGGAAACCTAATGGAAATTAGTGCAACACAGAGAGCTATTTGTTTTGCTCAACTACTCATGCTGCCACATTTTGGACCAACTATTGCTTTCAAGTAGTCTCCAAGAGCAGTCCCATGTACAATTCATATAATATCACAAGTAACTAAGGCATGAGATGAATAGGTCCTCCCAATTCAGGAAGGGGCCTAAATGACCCACAAAAGAATCTGTGTAAATGCAAGAGAATCTATTCTCATTCTCATGCATGAACCCAGAAGAACCCACGAATTACAGCAAGTTCTATCTGATAAAGTGGGACTTTGTCAAGAACTAAAATTGAAATATTCCTGAAAATAAGAAATCTGCAGTCTTTCAATCTTGCTAGAGTTAAATTTAATATTGTTCTTCCTATCCAGATAGTAACAGCCTCTAGACACAGTATCAGCTGACATACACAATTGGTTATCATATGCATATTGCTGAAATCTGACCTCATGCTCACCTTAATGACGTTGTCCAGTGATCTCAGGTAAAAGTTAAACAGGAACAAAGTGAGCATAGAGCTCTGCAGAATCCCACAAGCGAGTTATCAGATTCAACTATTTCCTGTCTACCAACATTGATTAGAAACAGCCTTGGGTGTAAAAAAAGAAAAAAGAAAGCTACTGCATACAATATTCCCCATTCCCAAATGATCTAAAAGGGTTCATGATTAATGGTATCAAAAATTCATTGAGAGATCAAGCACTGAGAATCCCAATATCCCTACTGCAATCCAATGAGAGGTTCTTCACAAGTGCGAACAATGCCATCTCTGTACGCAGGTCTGAAATCCAGGTGAAAAGGTCTGGTTAATATGCTTCCTTGCAGGGCCTTCTAAAGCTGCAAATTCATCATTTTCGGTGTAACCTTGTCCCCAAAGGAAAGCTGGTCATAAATAAAGAGGGCACATCACAGCCTCTTTCAAGGCAAGTGGGATCACCCGCTCAGTCAAAGATAAATTTACCACTGCTTGGACCTAGCCACATACTTACTGGGCAGCTCAAATTCCTGTCTCATTTTCATTGCCTCCTCTAAACACTCTCTAACCTATCAATATTCTTCTGGAAATGGGATGCCCAGAATTATACTCAGTTCTGGCACATGCTCTTACCAGTGCCAAGCAGACAGGAATAATGTCTTCACATATCTTCCATACAATGCTTCTTCTAACACAGCCCAGAACTGTATTGCACCTTCTAGCTGCTACCTCACACTGTATTCATTCCCAATCTATGCTGCTTAAATTGCCATTTCCTTTGAATATAAAGAGAGAGGCAAAATACAATTTGAGTTTTTGACTGTTGACTGCCTGGACTAGTCCTTGCAGTTTTCTTGGCAAGGTTTTTCCGTAATGATTTGCCATTGGCTGCTTCCTAGGACTGAAAGAGAATAACTGGCCCAAAGTCACCCAGCTGGCTTTGTTCCCAAGGTGAGATTAGAACTCGGGGTCACCTAGTTTCTAGTTTGGTGCCTTAACCACTACACCAACCAACGCTCATTTAGGTGATTTATATTAATTTATTATGGTAATTTTTTAATTTTCTATTTTTACCCTTTTAGCTCATTTACTATTAAAATTTTACAATTAATTAATTAATTAATGGGTATTTTTGTTTTTCTTTTGATTTCTTTTGTACATTTTTTCTATATTTTTATAAATTGCAATAAAATTATAATACTAATTTTAAAAAGTTAAAGGCCCACAGGAGGTGATTCCTCCTGATATTTTCTTTTGAGATGTAATGGAAATGTGGAAAGCCAGAAAGACAACTGGAGAAATGACAATAAAATTACATTTGACAAGATGACATGAGATTTCATAGCATCTCTTGGAAACTGCTTATCAAACACCAATACCTGAAAGTCCACATTGCACCCTTATTCTCAAGGGTGAGAATAGATTATTCAAATATGAATAGCCATATTTGAAAAAACATCTAAAACCAATGCTCTTTCATTTAAATAATGAGAAATCAAAGAAGAAAATGCAAGAGGATTTATCTACTGAGTGCCAGTTGAAAACATAAATAAAACTTGCAAAAAGCAACAATCAAGGCTGAAATAGAGTTAAAATATTTTTTGTAACAACGTCTTTATAAGCATATGTTTGGTGGACAGAAGTAAAGCTTAAAAATCCATTGTTTATCTAACTTGGGAGTTAACAGGATGATTGAAAACTGCATTTTACAATACTGTAAAAGCTGATATTGCAATAAATTATTCTTGGAGATCGATGGAAAAAATATTTCTAATTTAAGATATTGCACAAACCATAAATATCCATAGGATTCAGGGAGAAAAGAAGTTCCATGCAAAGTGTAAAAAAATATACAAGTAACATTTAAACTTGACTCACCTGTTCATTTAAGCGCTCATCTGCATCCTGCTTAGGGATATATTGGGTGGAAGAAGAGGACTTGTGGTTCCCTGGGACGTTTACGTCTCCCACCGAAAAGACAGGAAAGAGGGGCCTGAGAAATCGGAACTCGCTACTTAAGGATCCACCGGTCAAACAAACATCATAACGGTAAGTCCTGGAAAGTGACCCATTCTGTGAATCTGCACAGTTCTCTGGGGCATCAGCACTGGCAGGTGGGAAGTGAGGAACAGCTGCACTAAAATGGCTTTGGGGGTCCTTCTTGAGGATTTTGACCACAATAAACACAACAATACAGACCAGGAACACAAAGGAGACAGCAGCCAAGCAGATCACCAGATACTTGGTCAAGGTTTTATCTTCTTCCGGTTCTTGCACACTGACCTCCACCCTCCTCAGGAAGGGATCCGAAAAGCCATCCACAAGAAGGACATTAAGCAACGCCGTGCTGGTCTGGGGAGGAAGACCGTTGTCTCTGACCAGAATCACCAGCCTCTGCTTGTTTGTGTCTCGCTCATTCAGGGCTCTCCTGGTTTTCACTTCCCCATTCTGCGCTCCTATGCTGAAAAGGGCTGGGTCCGTGGCCTTCAGCAATTCATAGGAAAGCCAAGAGTTTTGGCCAGAATCTGCATCCACTGCAACCACCTTGGTGACCAGATAGCCGGCCTCGGCTGACTTGGGAAGCAGCTCATTGCATGGGGATGTGTTGTTCTGGAGGGGATACAAGAAGAAGGGAGCATTGTCATTTTCATCTATGATGTGGATGCGGACAATCACTTCTGAGCTCAGGGAAGGAGAACCATCATCAGAGGCCCTCACAGTAACTCTGAAGCCTCTTATCTGCTCATAGTCCAGGGATCGGAGGGCATACAGGTTTCCAGTTTCAGAGTTGATTGAAATGAGAGTGGGCAAAAGGCCACCACCCTTCCCAGGCAGAACTGAGTAAGTCACTTTTGCATTCTGCTTCGTGTCCAGATCCACAGCGTGGACTGAGCCGATGAGCAAACCTGGAATATGATTCTCCCGGATCTGCATGTCATATGAAGACTTTTCAAAAAGAGGAGGGTTATCATTGACATCGGAGATCTGAACATTAATCAGTCTTGTTGAAGTGAGCCTAGGAGAGCCACAGTCAATGGCTGTGATGGTGATGTTGTACTCAGTGACCGTCTCTCTGTCTAGAGGACTTTGGAGCACAAGCTGATAAAAGTTGTTTGTGGTGCCTTTGAGCACAAAAGGGAGATTCATGTCCACAGAGCAGACCGTTTTGCTGTTGTCTCCAGAGTCTTGGTCTCTAACACTGAAGAGGGCCACCACCTTCTCCAATGGGGAATCCTCCTTTAAGATGCTGGTCAGAGATATGATGGACACTTCTGGGGGGTTGTCATTGACATCTTCAACCTCTATTATTATCTTGGTGCGTCCTGAAAGTCCTCCTCCATCTATTGCTCTGATATTTATGCTATAACTTCTTTCTTTTTCATAATCAGTCTGTCCCTTAACAGTGATTTCTCCAGTCCTTTCATTTAAAAGGAACAAACTCTTTATTTTTTCAGGCGTTCTGTGGAATGAGTAGGTGACTTGTGCATTTGAACCCACATCAAGATCCGTAGCTTCCACTTTAGCCACTGCAGTGCCCGTAGGAAGGTTTTCCTTTATTTTTACCTTATATTCAGATTGGGAAAATTGAGGAGGGTTATCATTATTGTCCAGAACATCAATATTAATTTGAACAGTGCCTGTTTTCTGTGGTACCCCACCATCAACAGCCATTAGGGTGATATTGAGATGTGGCACCTTTTCTCTGTCTAGTGATCTCTTTAGAACAAGATCCACGTTGTTAATTCCGTCTTTGTTCCTTTGCACATGAAGCCAAAAATATTCATTGGCGCTGAGTGTATAGTTTTGGATGCTGTTTTCTCCTAGGTCCTCATCATCTGCAGATTCCAAGGGAATTACCATATTTGTAGGAACATTCTCAGGAATTTCTATCTCAAATTCATTTTTAGAGAACTTGGGAGCATTGTCGTTTATGTCTTCTATTTCTATTTCCATATTATATGATTCCAAAGGGTTGTCAAGCACAATTTGAGAGGTAAGTATGCAAGCATCTGTCTGGCCACACAAAACATCTCGGTCTACTTTATCATTTATCAATATATCCCCAGTATGAAGATCCAGGGAGAAATACTGCTTAGTGCTTTGAGAAATGAGATGGGCTCTGCGATCAATGAATTCCTCTACTTCCAGTTTCAAATCCTTCAGCACATTAGCCACTATAGAACCACTTTTGGTTTCTTCCAGTGTAGAATAATAGATTGAAATACATAATGCTCCAGGAAGACAAAGCAACCAAAAAAGATACATACCTTGTTTACTCCTAATGCATTGTTCCATGATTCAGGACTCTCCTTAATTTTTGAACAGAATATATAGTCCTTATTTTCGTCCAGTTATTATCTCTGACAAAAAGCTAATTTCCTGCTGCTTTACCTCCCAGTTTTCATCTTTTCATTGGTTAAAATCTTCTTGTCTTCTTGCAACACCCTAGTCGTAGCTTTTTGTTCATTTCCTCTCACCCCAAAATTCTGAGTTCTCAGTAATATGTTTGCCTATTCTGCCACCATGTGGCTGTTTGAGGAATTCACCTCTAGGACTGCTTATTATTTAAAGAGTCCGTTCTAAATGAAAGGCAGCAAATCATAGTTTTGAAGGCTTTCTACCTATTCAAAATATGAAGATCCTACAGGAAATGATGGTTCTTAAGGTTGGTGAGATTCTAGTTACCTCTTCCCCAAACAATAATATTATTGTTCAACAGCACATTCAGTGAGAGGGATACAACTCTAGCACTGTAATATAACTTTCCCTGAGGATCCCCAGAAATAAATTGATTAAAGTATATCAAAACAGAACAATAAGAGAAAAGGTAAGGATCTATGTTAATCATCCCCATTTAGATTTATCTAATTTCAGTCACAGAAAATCATGAATAAGGTCCAGTATATGTAACTATGGGGATTTCCTTATTTTGAAATTATTAGAGTTTAATTTTAAAAATATGAACATGATCAAAATATTATTAGATTTATGAAAAGAACATAGGAGAGGTTCTTTCTGACGTAAGATCTACTTTATTCAAAGCCTCTATGCTCCCGATCTGTTGCACTTTCAATCCTCCGGAAACTCAAAGAATCACATGAAGTTGCTCTATCTTAAATGAGAAATAGAATAGAATAGAATAGAATAGAATAGAATAGAATAGAATAGAATAGAATAGAATAGAACTGGAAGGGACCATGGAGGTCTTCTAGTCCAGCCCCCTGCTCAAGCAGGAGAACTTATACCATTTCAAACAAGTGTCTGTCTAGTCCAGACATATCAAACACAAGGCCCATGGGCTGGATTCGGCCTGTGAAGCCATCCTGGAAACAGCGAGGGAATGGCCCTTGTTGTCTTGGCCCTGGCCCAGGACAGCTGGGAGTCAATGTACAATTTCATGGTGGCCATCCATGCTGGAACCAATTCAGTCTTAGCTCCACAAGGCGGTCCTGGAAACAGTGAGGGACCAGCCCCCGCTGCATTGGCCCTGCCCCCTGGGTGCATGCTGGGGAGATGTCACCCTTCGTGAGGAATGAAGAAGTGGACCATCGCCTGGAAATGGCCAACAAATGGCCTTTGCCTACTTCACATATCCAGCTTCAGCCTCTTCACATACCCATGCTGGCTGTTAGTTATAACTTTGTTTGCTTCTAGTTGTTCGCAGATCTGTTTTTTGACTATCTTTTCCAGGATCTTCCCAGGTATTGATGTTAAACTGATTGGTCTGTAGTTTCCTTGGTGTGTTTTTTTTCTTTTTTGAAGATGGGAACCACATCAGTTCTTTTCCAATCCTCAGGTACTTCCCCGGTTCTCCAGGATTTTTGAAAGGTGTGGTGCAATGGTTCTGAGATAACATCTGCCAGCTGCTTCAGAACTCTGGAATGTAATCTGTTGGGTCCTGGTGATTTATATGATTATGACTTCCTCAAAATGGACAGGAATGAAGATTACAAAAGCAAATACAGAGAAACAGTGAAAAAGGAAAAGAAAAGAAAAAGAAAACAAAGCAAAGCAAAGAGATTTATTCAGAAATGCATACCTGACCAAGCAATCTTCTCACAGATAAATCTTTTCTAGAATTAATCACAAGAAAACTGTTCTATACAGTTGACAACATATTTAAATAATAAAACATTATAAATTAAAATGTAAAACTTTTTGAAATGTTGTAATACTATTTCCACTTTGGACATCAGTTTACCTTCTTTAATATGAGTTTTGGTTTTATGGGAATCTGTTGAATTCTTTGGATGCATTTGGATGCAAATTGGATCCATTAAAAAAAAACCAAAACAAAACAGGAAACAGAGGCCTGAGGAATTAGAACTCACTAGTCAAAAATCAGCCAGTGAAACATACCTTGTAATTGTATCAGAACTAGGATCACCACAGTTTTCTTGCAAATTGTGTCCCAAAATTACATTAGATACAGAATTAGGCTACCCATGAATTTCTGCCATTTCTGAAACTAGATTGCAATAAACACCAATGCAGAAAGGAAGAAAATGGATAGATGGAAACCAAGCAATTATATGGTAACAGCATGATCTCCATCCTGCGGGACTTCACTCTTAGGATTATCCATAATTTTCATGTACGGATCAGAGAAGCCATCCACTAGAAGAATTCTTAGGGTCGCAGAGACAGACTGAGGCGGATGCCCGTTATCCCTAACTGCCACAATAAGAGTGTGTTTGAAACTGTTTCGGATGTTCACCAGCCTCATGGTTTTCACTTCCCCATTCTGAGTCCCAACAGCGAAGAGACTCGGATCTGTGGCCTTCAGCAATTGATAGGAAAGCCAAGAATTCTGCCCTGAGTCCCTGTCCGTTGCCACCACTTTGGTGACCAGATAGCCTGTCTCTGCTCCCCTGGGAACCAGCTCCTTTGATGGAGAAGTGCTGTTCTAAAGGGGGCAGAGGACGAAGGGGGCGTTGTCATTCTCATCTCTGATAAGAACTCGGACCATGGTTTCTGAGCTCAGTGGAGGCGAGCCCTTGTCTACAGCCCTCACCATCACCTGGAAATCTTGTATATCCTCATAATCCACAGATCGGATGGCATGCAGGTTCCCGGTTTCGGAGTTGATGGAGATGTAAGATGATACAGGCAAAAGCCAATAGGTCAGTTTGGCATTTTGTTCTATGTCCACATCCTCAGCGTGGACTGATCCAATGAGCAGTCCTGGAATGTTGTTTTCTCTCCAGTGCAAATCGTAGAAAGATCTTTCAAACATTGGAGGGTTATCATTGAAACTTGAAAATTAAATGCTGTCATTAAAGTGAGTGTAGGAGAACCTTGATCAGCAGCTGCGATGTTATATTTTAACATTTGTTCTCTGTCCCGTAGCTGTTGTGTCACAAACTATAGCTGTTGTGTCACAAATATTTGTTCTTTGTGAGTTTCAGCTGAAAAAGTAGGTTTGCATCAATGTTGCAGAAAGTTAGGCCATTGTCTCCTGTGCCTCCATCTGTGACACTGAAGATAGTCACCATTCAGGAGAGTCTCCTGGTAAAAGATTGGTCAAAGATGATATGATCACTTGTGGAGAACTGTCATTCTCATCCTCAATATTCACAAGGACCTTACAATAAGCAGAATCCTCCTCCATCTATGGCTTTGAGATTCAGTTTATCATTACTGTATTTTTTCATATCAATTCTTCCTGCAAGAATAAGCTGTCTGTATTTCTGTGTAGCTGAAATGATCTGAATACTCTTTCTGATATTTGGCTGAAAGAATATGTAATATGAGCATTGGTTTTGTTTCCTCTATCACTGGCTTCCACTTTAGCAATGAGGGTATCCAACTGTTTTCTCTTAATTTCACTGAGTAAACCGATTGTTCAGTATAAGCACAATTATCATTAATGCCTAAAACATCAATAGCTATGTTGTTTCAGTTCTGAGCGCAAAGCCTCCATCTATAGCAGACAGCATCGAAATCCACTGTGAAATATTCTCACGATCTAATGATTTCTCCTTAGTTCTAGGTTGCTTCTCTCCTTGATTAGTTTCCATCCATTGTTTCTTGTCTTGCCTTCTGGTGCTTTAGAAAATTGGTTGACTTCCCCTCTTCTTTGTGACAGCCCCTCAAATATTGGAACACTGCTATCATGTCTCTCCTAGTTCTTCTTTTCACTAGACTGTAACTGTTCTTCATATGTTTTAGTCTCCAGTCCTCTGATCATTTTTGCTGCTTTTCTCTGCACTCTTTCCAGAATCTCAACATCTTTTTTATATTCTGGTGCCCAAAACTGGATGCAGTATTCCAGGTATGGCTTTCCTAATCAAGGATCCAGGTTTTTGTTTCCTCAGGTACTGAATACATAAAGGATTTGCACATTGCTGAATACATGCCGAGATAAAGGGAAAAAAAACTGCTAAAACTTGCCTGCACTCGAGATACATTTCCATTGTTTCAGACTCACCTCAGAGCCGATGGTTGAAAGAACAGGTTTCTATGTTGTCCTTTTGGCGTTTTATCTGTCTAGTTTTTACATTTTATAATAGGATTTTCCTCCTCTCATCAGTGTAGATTTTTTGAAACTAAGTTTAGCTGTCTCTTTGTTCCTGCTTTGCCATCTGGCTACAGTTCTCTAAGAGGGCAGGTACTCCCTAATCTTTTATTCTGCATTGTGTGATAGCACCACCTTGTGCTTGACTTGGGTACAACTTCCATTTATACTGATACACAGAAATGTATTGTATGTCTTTTGCAATAAATGTTTCTATAATTTAAATGTTGCAATATAAACTTGCAATAATTAAGTATTAAAATACATTTCTCAGTTTAGCTCATTTAATATACAAGTTCACCAGCATCATATCTAATGTGGCTTCTAGAAGGAACCAAATAAGTTATTTAAATATAAGAAAATTCATAGCATTAACTTGATACATATTTATTGATATGCATCCCATTTTTCAACTATATTTGTCTGCCTGGGATAGTCAGTTCTGCTAATGCATTAGTGCCAAGCTTCTCTCCACAGCCCAGATTCTTAAAAGCAGCATAAAAAAAGCAGCTGCTGACAGCACTGACATTTGTACCATCTTAGACATTGTTGACTATAGGCAAGGCTGCCTTTGCCATGCTTCATATGATGTAGTAATATTACCAATTGTAATTTAGAGCTTTAATATATTGTAGTCCATTGTCAAGGCCCATAAAGTTCCTAGTTCCCATACTTGGAAGGGTGGGGGAGCTTGACAAGTAGGTAGTGATATTGTGAACTCTGCAGTCAGACAGGTAGATCATAGTAGCTGTTGTTACTATTGTGTTTCCCTGAAGAT